AATCTTGAAAGCACAGAATCATAGAATGGCTCGGGTTTGGAAGGGATATCAAGGATCATGAAGCTCCAAGCCCCCTGCTGCATTCAGGGCCACCAACCTTCACATTTCATAGCAGCCCAGGCTGCCCAGGGCCCATCCAACCTGGCCTTGAACACCTCCAGGGATGGACGGGGCATCACAGCCTCTCTGGGCAGCTGTTCCAGCACCTCACCACTCTCATAGCAAAGAACTTCCCCTGACATCCAAACTCCATCTTCCCTCCCTCAACTTCAAGCCATTTCCCCTTGTCCTGCCGTTATCTCCCCTTTCCAAGAGTTGACTCCCCTCCTGTTTGTAGGCTCCCTTTAGGTATTGGAAGGCTGAATGTGAGATCTGAAATCCATGGCAAGTGCTATTCCTGCAACTATTTTTATTTGTGAAACATGCCCGAGCACCGACCACGAATAGAATAGCATGGGAGAGGCTCTGGAAACAACTCTAAAAGCAGAACGGATATCAGTGGAACACAAGACACCAGCTTGATGTAAAGAGTTGTCACATCAGTACCTTGCATGATAAGCTCTAAGTGATGCTCGGGCTTTTCTTACCAATCCCATGAATATTTCCAGCACAAAAGCCTAACCTCCCACACTTCCAAGTGCTGTGGCACACCTATATGTATATATTTCTCTCCTTTTAACCTTTAGGACCAAATCCAAATGGCATAGCTTAGCTAGAGACAAGGAGCCAACAGCTCAATGAACAACACCCAAAATCCCACCTCACTCCAAGGATTTGAGGAGCTCACGTTTTATCTGAACTGCTCAAATTGTGCTCACAGTGCCTGACCTGAGATGCCTCTACATTGCTGCAGACCCCTGGCTTACCCATCTCCTGCCTTAAGACACACCAGACTGATGAGCCATGTGTCCACCCCCAGTTACCCACCACTGGAGAAGAAACCCTCCAGAAGGTGCTCCCTGTTAAGATGTCTCCTCCATGAGATGGGAGAGGATGGGCTGTCCAGTTTCAAGTCTACATTCTTGCTGAAGACAGAACAGAAATAAATCCCAGTGATTTCTCTGTAGTGAGATGTTTTGGTTTCATTGCTCCCACAGCTCTGTCTTTCAGACTTGCCTGCCTCAGGTCAACATGGGAAGGTGAAATAAAGCACAGAAACCTGTTCTTACCCTTAATCATCTTTGCCTCTCCCCAGTGGGCTCCTTCTAGGAAACCTCTGTCCTTTTTCATCAGGGGGTCCCAGAACTGGACACAGCCATCTGTTTGAGAAGAACCATCCTCCGAATGCCAATGACTGCATCCCCACTGAGAATTAAATCATAGAATGGCTTGGATTGGAAGGGACAATAGAGATCATCTAGATCATCTAGGCCACCTAGCATGACATGGGCAACCTAGTTATGGACAGTATAGTAGGATCCAGATGTCAGCATCACTGGGAATGCCCTACAACCCTTTGGCTCCCAGCCCATCCTGGTACAGGTCCCATAGTATGCTCTGGCATCCAAAATAGCAGCTGCGACCATGGAGGTGAATCCCAGTAGTCTCTGCTAAAGGTGGGAGCTGCAGGGAGGTCTCCCACGTGCTCCATGAGGCATTAGTAACATTATAAAACCCCAAGCTTACCCAACAGACCTCAATTTCTGTTGAGGTTTAGTAACAGTGAAGTGCCCTGCTGATGGCATGCAGGTCTTTCAATCAGCGGCAGGGACACAGAAAAACAACCTGCAAAGCCTCCTGATGCCATAAAGTCTACTGGCAGCTAGGCAATTCAGGTTAAATTTAGCCTGCAGTACAGAGGTCACGTCAGTCGCCGAGATCATAAAAAGAAAAGAGAATAAAAAGTCCTGTGTTGTGCAGGCTTTATGTAATGCCAGTGCTGCTCTCAGTAGAGAGGTGAACCCTGCAGCTGGGAAACGCACCCAGCTCGCTCCTGCCACTGCCTCCTGGCATTAAAATAAAGGAACAATGAAAGGAAAGGATTACATTTGCTCAGATGGGCATCTCTTTACCCCTCTGTACCATACCTGTCTAGGCAGACCAGGCTGGTGGAGGAGGTGCACGTCTCCCAGTTCTGTTCATGTGGACTCACATGTATTTTTTGACTCTCTGTACTATTTTGGGGAGCAAGAAAGCAGCTCCTAGGTGGTCAAGTCCAGGGCTGATGTTAGAGACAAGCTTGACTGATCTTCAGACACTTTCTGTGCAGCTGCTGGACCTTCTGCTGGGATTACTGTGCAGTCAGACCACCACAGCCCAGCTTCTTGTTGCTCTCCTTCCCTTGGTAGCAGTCATGGCAGATCTTCTTCCCAGTCTGCAGCAGGTGGCCAGCTGCCATTTACTTTTCATTGTGGCAGTGTGGCTCTTCAGCAGAAACTGCTCGTGGTCCTGCACTGTGTACCCTGCGTACCTGAGAGCATCTTCACTGCTCCCAGCCTGCTGGCAAGGCTGCACAAGCAGAGATGTGCAAAGAAGCGTCTCCTTTGGGCTTTGAGTTTGTTGTGACTTCCCTACATCCTTGTATCAACAAATACGGGAAAAAAAAAAACAAGTGGAAACTTTTGCTTTCCCTCTCCTTATCCCAAAGGATGCTCTGGCACCGGGCAGGTCTCTATGCTCATCCTACTATACCTCCACCCCGGTGGGGAGATTTCACCCTTGCAGAACTGGGTTGGGCAGAGCTGATTCCTGTCATGTTTTATTGCAGGGTAAAGTGGTGGAGTGCCCTTTATGGTGTTTTGAAAGGAAATTGTACAGGAACAATGTCCCAGGCAGTGTGGCTATTGAAAACCCTTCACAAAGGGAGTTTGCCACAAGAGGAAAAGCTGCTTAATCAGTCCAACTAATCACCGTAGGTGGTTGAGAGTCCCTGAGGGTCCGTAAAATCAAATAGAATGGGAAAAGAAATCTATCACAGCTTGCCTGCACTTCTCCTGGAGCCACCGGCGGATCCGGGACGCTCCCTGCCTGGCCCCGAGCCTGTGGTCACCATCCTCTGGGCTGTCCCCATGTAGCACAGCACTCTTCCCAACGGTGGGGATGTGAGGATGAGCCCTCGAGATGTCCTTCACCGGTGTGGTGGCCATGGGATGGGACGGTGGGGCTGGGGACAGTGAGCAGGGCAGGGTTGCCCACCCTCCCGCTGTCACCCCAGGTGACCTCAAATGGCTTTCGGCGTCTGCAGCGGGGGGTCAGCGGTGCTTACACAATTCTCAGGAAGAGGAAACTGTCCCTGACAGCCACCCGCAGCTCTCCGGGGAGGGAGGATATTTCTGCCTCCCCTAGATCTCTCCATCTCATTAGAAACAACACCCAAAAAAAAAAAAAAAAAAAACAAGTGGAAAGGCCCAAAGAAAAAAGAAAAAAATGAAACAAAGCCGCCAGGCTGTTTTTTTTTTTCCTGATTATTAAAGTGTAATGCCAAGTTAAACGTAGGAAACAAACTGGGACGGGGAGAGAGAAAATTCAGGGACGTTTCTGGAATCTCGTTATCAAAAGCAATAGGGGCACGCTGAGGAGAGGTAGGGAAAGCTCCCACCCTCTATACTGCGGGAGGTCTTTGGAAAGAGGAGATGAATAACTCACACCATCCTCTACGAGTCATTACCCTCCACTGCACAAAGGCAGACCACCAAGTCCCCACCAACAGCCAACAAGAGGCGACAGAACCAATGGGACGGCGACGGTGCCAACTTTTTTTTATGAGTTCCCATTCCCCAGCAACATTCCCCTGGAGCAGTCTGCTTCCTGAGGGTGATCACAGAACGGCAGGGGTTGGATCTCTGAAGATCACCAAGTCCAACTGTCCCAGGGCTTTGGCTGGCTGGGCCCTCCATCCCCAGCCATATTGACCTGGGATGCCACAGAGTGGGTTGGGTTGGGGTGGAATGGAGGACAGGGCTTGAGAGAATGAGTCTGTTGTTCTCCATATCACAGCTCTGTGGAGGTCAAACCAAACAGCCTCTGCTGTTGGCTGGGAAGGGGGGGTCTTGTAGCAGCAAATGGCAGGTTAGCATTTGGGACAAGAAAAAAAACAAACAACCCACTGGTAGCCAGGAGCTGCTCTCATGGATATCTGTGGCTGATATCAGTCTGTCACCTAAAATGTGCCAAGCAGACCAAAGTCAGCATTCCTCGGGTGCAGCCTGGTTCAGCACCTTTAATCTAATCTCCCTGTCTCTTCTATGCAGCAAATGAAGCACTCACTCCATGGCAAAACTAAAAAATTACTCATGTAATGTAAAACCCTGGGTTCCCCTAATCCAGCTATGCCCCTGGGATGTCACCCTGCCACTCAGATATTTGTTCTGGGGTGGTACCTTGCCCCACATCTCCCAGCAGCAGCCCAAGGCAGCTCTTTCCAGTCCAGCAAGGCATCATACCTCAGTGCAGAGAAGAGACCCTCATGTTACTAAATATGCAACTTAAACAATTATATCATTAAATTATCCGAAATTATCCGAAAGCGTTCAGTGGAAAGAGAGGAAGCAAGCCACAAGATTCAAAGCCTTTACAGACAACACTTTGCTGTTGCCTCTTCTAAAGGAAGTGTGGGGGTCTGCCTGTGCTGGAATACATAGTGCTGTGTCAGATGGACACTCCATTTCCCAGGCCTCAGTGCTCCCGGAGCAAGAGAGCTGCTCAACAGCAATATTCACAGAAACACAGAACCACAGAACTACAGAATGGTTGGGGTGGAAGGGACTTGGAGATCATTGAGCCATACGTCGGTTGTGTTGAAAGGGAGCTTGAGGATCACAAAACCATAGAATGGTTGGGTTGGAAGGGACCTTGAGGATCATAGAACCATAAAAACGAGTTGGACTGGGGGGATCTTAAAGCCCCCCAGGTCCCATGTCTGCCACAGGCTGGCTGCCCCATTCATGGCACTGGCATCTCCAGGGATGAAAGTGTCCATAGACATTCCATGAGACAGTGGGGAAAGATTTGCAACAGGGACGAAAAGGCTAAAAAGAATTTTAAAGAGAGGTTTTGCTTACCGCCTGTCGTTTCTCCTCCTTCTGAACAGCTTTTTGGTGTGTGCGATTTCAGCTTCATGAGGCAGCGGGTGGTAACCCTGGAAAAGAGGGAAAAGCAATGTTCAGCTCCAGGATACAACAGGCACTGACTGAGCCCCTGGGGAAGGGATGAGTGCCATCCACCGATTGGGCTGACCAGGGCAGTAGATGTCTTGCCCAAAGCAAGCTGGAGGCAGAGGTGCAGTTTCCCCACCTTGTCCTCTCCCCAGTGAAGGTGCCAGGTCACCCCATGCTCATTTGTTGTTGGTCTGGTCAAGTGAACTCCGTATTACTGCCTTACTACAAGCATCATGGGGCCTCATTAATGTGAGCAAAGAGTTCTGAGGTTCCTGGAGGAAAGTGCAAAGCATTATTTATTTTCCAGGGACTACAGAGCTGTCATAACTGCAATGATTTTTATTTATGTAGCATTGTATTTCCCAGGCTGGCAATAAAAGCCTCGTAAAACTCACTCGTTCTACTTCCATAGCGATCTGTCTCATCCTTCAAGCCGGTGAATCAGCCTGGACATCACTGAAAAGAGCCTGGAAATCCTTGATGTCAAGCTGCTTAAAATTATATTGCAGCTTTTCCATTACTGCCCACTGCGGTTTGCGCCCTTCTCACCCATCTGGTCACTATTTTATTTTATTTTTTTTTGCCAAATGCAATGGAGGAGCTAAAGCCTCAGAAACCTTTGCTCCTCTGAATCACAGAATTGCTCAGGTTGGAAAAGACCTTCAAGATCATCAACTCCGACCTCAGCCTAACCATGCTACCCTAACTCTGACGACCCACCACTAAATCATGCCCCTGAGCACCATAACCAATGTGCTTGCAGTTAGCTGATGATACCAAAGCGACTGGGAAAAGGAAAGGAGGGAGCAGACCCACTGCCCAGTCTTACCAGCTGTACTTATTTAAGAAACAAGGCAAAAAAATAGCACAGTACTCAGTGAGACTGCTTCCAAATGTTTCGCTATCACAGCTGAGCTTGGGGTATTTTTAAGAATTCAAACTGCATGTCAGAAGCATGTGCAAATACAAATACCCTGAAAACTGAAACTATCTCTGCAAAGCATGAGCACACAAAGTGCCAATTTCCTACAAGTTGCCAGTGCATCTCAACAGCTGCATTCTTGCTCGTTCCAAGCAGAAACTATAGGTAAAGTGGTGCCACGCTGCTCCTCCTCATCCCTTGGGCATCCAGAGGGTGTGAGAGATGGGTTAATTCTATGGGAATACATCTCCCAGCCCAAAGAGGAATGGACTAACTCCATGGGAATACATAGTCCAACCCAAGGAGGGGTGGGTTAATTCCAGAGGAAGATGTCACCCAGCCCAAGGAAGGGTAGGTTAATTCCAAGGGAAGATGTCTCACAGCCCAAGGGGAGATGGGTTGGGAAGATGTCCCCCAACTCAAGGAAGGATGGATTAATTCCAAGAGAATGCATCCTGCAGCCTAAGGAGGAATGAGTTAATTCAATGGGAAGATGCCCCTCACCCCAAGGAGAAATGCATTAATTCCATGGGAAGATGTCCCCCAGCCCAAGGAGGGATGGGTTAGCTCAATGGGAATGCATCCTCCAGCCCAAGAAGGGGTGGGTTTATTCCATGGGCATCTTCCAACCCAAGAAGGGGCGTATTAATTCCATGAGAATGCACCCCCCCTGATCCAAGGAGCCTGAACAGAAAGTGCCCATGAGGAGAAGCAAGCTGAGTGGTTCCCTTCTTTAGTCCTAGGCATGAGACAATGTTTTGAAAAAAAAAAAAAAAAAGAAGTCACAGGTCCCTACTCTTGTCTATTTCAGTGCTTAAGGAGAGCTAAATTTGGAAGGGAGAAAAGTCAACTTTTTTTGTGTGTGTGTGTGTGTGCAGGGAGCTGATGTAAAAGGAAATATCGGCGACTTCCAAGGAGGGTGGAGTGCCTGGAGAAGGCGAGGGCATGGGCTGGGTGCAGGCCAGAGTCCCAAGGGCACGGCACACACTTTTATGACATCTGCGTGTTCTTCACTTTGTCTGCAGGCTGCTCCCCAGTGCAGGTTGTGCAGTGCAGTGCTGGAAGCTGAACTGGCTCACTGAGGACAATGTGGGTCTGCAACGGCTCTTCCAATTCCATAACATATCCCGAGTTGTGCTTGCAAACAGATGCTCCATGAAGGTGAAACCCAAGGGCAGAACCAAAGAAACAAGTTTTGCAAGGCAGAAGGCCACCCTGTGCCCTGCTATGGGTCCACAAGAAGACCTACACATGAGAGGCATTCTTTGCTCCTGCCCAACCCAGAGATGGTTCGCAGCTTGTCAGTGGGCAGCGAAACTGCATTTGGTCTCCAGACCACCACGGTTTTATTTTGATATTCGATCACATGTGGCTTGAGAACATAACATTTCAGCGCTACCAGTTCTGGGAGTGAGAGGTGTGGGAAAAGAAAAGAACAGGGAGCCCATGGTCTTCAGAACCACCACTAATAGGGGTCATGCTCAGTTTGGAGCAAAACAGTCCGTGGTTTACATGGTGGTCAACTTGGAGAAGAACCTGAGAATCCCATGGGACTTCTCGTTTATGTACACATACGTCAAATTTGAATTCCACATGTAAGGAAGACTAGCAGCTCTGTGAGAAAAGGGTCTCTCTTGGCCAGTCCCCTGGAGATCAGCTCTCTTGTGATGGGATGTTCATTCTGATGTCTTTGCAAAAGTGGCTCTTAGAGAAGAGGTGCTAGCCTCTGGCAAGCACTTCTCCGTATGGCCTGATAGTGACAGGACAAGGGGGGGATGGTAAGGGCTGGGGGCTGTGAGGACCTTGGATCTCTTCCAACACAACCATTCTGTGATTCTACGGTTCTACGATCTTCAAGGACCCTTCCAACACAACCATTCTGTGA